GTTAACTATGGAGCGGGGGTTCTACTATAATTCAATTAAAAATGGGCAAAAGTTCTGAGTAGACCTTTCTTAAAAGAGGACACACAAATTCCACAAATATATGAAAAAATGCTCAACATTACTATTCATCAGCAAAATGCTAGTCAAAACTACAATTAAATGTCATCTTACCCCAGTTAAAATGGCTTTTAACAAAAAGGCAGATGGCTCAGCGCCTGTGGCTCAAGTGGCTAAGGCGCCAGCCACATACACCTAAGATGGTGGGTTCGAATCCAGCCTGGGCCTGCCAAACAACAATGATGACTGCAACCAAAAAATAGCTGGGCCTTGTGGCGGGTGCCTGTGGTCCCAGCTACTTGGGAGGTAGAGGCAGGAGACTCGCTTGAGTCCAGGAGTTAGAGGTTGCTGTGAGCTATGATGCCACGGCACTCTACCCAGGGGGACAGCTTGAGGCTCTGTCTCAAAAAAAAAAAAAAAAAAAAAAAGGCAGGCAATATCAGATGCTGAAAAGGATGTAGAAAAAGGGGAAGGTAGAAATGTAAATTAGTAGAGCCATTATGGAGAACAGTATGGAGGTTTCTCAGAAAACTAAGAATTGAACTAGCATAGATATATAGTCCAGCAATTCCACTAGTGGGTATATACCCAAAAGAAAATAAATAAATATGTGGAAAAGATATCTGCCCTACCATGTTTATTACAGTGCTATTCACAATGGCAAAACTATAGAATCAACCTAAGCACCCATCAGCAGATAAATGGACAAAAAAGTGTTATTGGTATATTCATGCACATACATACAATGAAGTATCATTTACCCATAAAAAATAAAATCCTGTCATTTGTAGTGCTGCAGGAAGATGAGGTCCAATGGAGAGAAAGAACACCCAAACACCATTTTTAAAAGAGGAAAGGTTTTATTGCAGCCAGGGGAGCCACTGAAGACCAGAGTCTAAAAATGGCCATGCTCCCTGACTGGCTGAGTCTTCTCCTTTTTATCCCCAGTCAAAGTCCCAGCCCATGGGTACAATTATCTTTGGTCAGTTTGAGTCAAACAGGCTTAAGGCTTTTACAGAACCTTGGGTTTTTATAGAAGCAGAAGCAAGCATTAGTTTCCAGGTCCCAGGAAGTTAAGTTTCTATAAATTCCTAAGAGCTGAGTCACTATGGGGAGGACCTTGCTGGTGTGTCCTTGGGACTTACTTGAGAAGACCTCTGTTCTCTTAGACCTCACTTTTCCCAGGTATCCTCTCTCGGTAGTAACATGGATGGAGCTGGAGGTCATTGTAATAAGTGAAATAAGCCAAGCACAGAAAGACAAGTATCACATATTCTCACACATATGTGAACGTTAAACAAGTTAATCTTATGAAGATAGAGAATATATTGGTGGTTACCAGAGATCAAGAAGGGTAGTGGGGAGGGAGGAATGAAATGAAGTTGAATAATGAGTACAAATACAGAGTTTTGATAGAAGAAATAAGACATAGGGTTAGACAGGGTTAGACACAGGGTTAGAGGGAGGGGGTGTGGGCAAGAAAAAAAAAAGAAAGAAAATAGTGACTAATTCTTATATAAATTGTATTTAATTTTGACCAAAGTACATTACTTAAAGATGAATTCTTAAGTCAACATGTTAATATGTTGTTTATCATATTGTATCCTCATTTATAAGTGAAATATTTTTTGTAATTTCCCCTTTATAATAATATATTTTCTCCAATTTTAATATCAGATGTATCCAGATTAAGTAGAATGATTTTTAATATCTCTTTTTCTATTGTCTATAAGATTTGGCATTGTCTGTTTTTTATTTATAAATATTAGTTGTCTATTTTTTTGAGACTTTGCAAAAAACAAAATAATAATAAGAAGTTAACTGATCAAAGTATTCTATAATAGACATACTCCTATCTGACTATGGGAATGTTACTTTCTTTGCATTATTACTATTATTATTGCTTAATATTTCATTGCAGCAATCATCTGATTTCTTTTCTGAATGTATTTATCTTCATTCGTTCTTTATGAGGTTTTTGTTCTCAGTCCTTATTTTAAACATTGTTATTGTCATTAAATTTAGCCTTTTTAATTCTGTGAAGAACAAAAAAAAAAGACATATTTAAAGTGATGGATATCAAGTACACTATTTTGATCTTTACAAATTATATGAATATATTAAATTATCTCACGTACCCCCAAATTGTGTATATCTATTATGCATCAATAAAATTTCAAAATTAAAAACTTTAAAAATATATATTTTTTGAGACAGAGTTTCACTCTGGTGCCCTGTTTAGAGGGCCATGGCATCAGCCTCTCTCATAGCAACCACAAACTCCTGCGTTTAAGCAATTCTGCCTCAGCCTCCTAGCTAATTTTTCTATTTTTAGTAGAGACTGGGTCTTGCTTCTATTAAGGATGGTAAAAATATTTTTAAATGTAATTATTTACCAAGGCTTCTGGAAAAAAATCAGATATTAGCATTTTATATGACTATTTGGGTTTACTCCATTGTATACAGAATACCCTTTTCCTGACCCTGGCCCTACCCTAAATTTTCATTGCTTTAAACAAATTAGCTTTTCTCTTAGCAGTTGATAAACTTTCAGAGTCTGTGCCCACAGGCTTATGTTAGATCTGACATTTTTCTCTTTTTTTTAATTGTTGGGTATTCATTGAGGGTACAAGAAACCAGGTTACACTAATAGCATTTGTTAGGTAAAGTCCCTCTTACAATCGTGTCTCTGACATTATTTTTCAAACACACTCTTTTGTCAGCTTCCCAGAAGAAAGGTATATATTAGGTTTTTCCTGTTATTAGTAACGAGGCAAATAGTGTTGCTCAGGTACCTAATTTGTGTTACTTTATATAGCTTGGTGTTAAAGATTATGAGACCACTGGAATATGAACACTAAATGGACATAAAGTATTATCCAGTTTCATGTGTGATGATGGTGCTGTGGTTGTATATTAAAAGCATCATTATTTTTAGAGATATATGCTGTATTAGTTATCTATTGTCATGTGGCAAATTACCCCCAAATTTAAGCAGTTTAAAACAATACAGATTTATTTTCCTCAAACTTATGTGAGCCAGAAGTCTTGGTATGGCTTATCTGAGTCCTCCATCACAAGTCCTTTACAAGGCTACAATCAAAATGCTGGCCAGGGCCAGGGTTTTATCTGAAGACTAAGCTGGGAAAAGATTTGCTTCAAGAGTTATTGACTAAGGGCCTCAGTTACTCACTAGCTGTTGGTTAGAGATCACTCTTAGTTCCTTCCAACATGTGCCTTTCTAACAAGGCAGCTTGTTTCATCAAAGCCAGTAAAAGAGAGTGGGGGAAGGGAAGAAGGAAAAGAGAATCTACCAGCAAGATCAAAATCACAATCTTCTGTAATATTATTACAGAAGTGACATCCCATCACTTTTGCTTAAATTTAATAATTAGAAACAAGACTCAGTAACTGTGCCTACACTCTTATAGAAAGAGTAATCACACCAGGGGATGGATACCATATCCAAGGGTAACATGAAATACACATATCCGACTTCTGTCAATGGGAATTTTTATGTGCTTCCATTACATTTATAAGTACACTGAGAGTTCTGTAAATCCGCACCTGTTGTTGGGTTGTATATCTTTTTAGAATGTATCATCCACGTTCTTTAAGAAAAATGCAATTGAGTGCAAAATAATCACCCAATATCCTATAAGAGATAAAAAATTAAATTGTTATGCAGTAAATCTAAGTCTTTGTAATGATCTCATCCTTTACATTTTAATGTTTCTCTCAACTGATTTCAAATATTCACTTTTATGTTCTTCTAGTTATTATGGTTATTATTTAATAATTGAGACCATAACAAATGTGTGTGCATATATATATACACATATATACATACATATATATATATATATATGTATATACCAGTAGCCAGTTAGACATTAATGTGAACCAGAATTACCAGGGAAGCTTGCTGAAAATGAAAGTTCTGGAGCTCCAATGAGTAAATCTAGCTAGATCTACTATGAACTCACATTATGAGGAAATGCCCCCTCGCGATTTTCACACAGGTAGCATATTAGCATACTTTTAGGGATAGTAAGACATTGTCAAAAGAATCCAACATTCCTTTAGGAATTCCAAGTAATCTCTTCTAGAGAAGTGAAGTTACACATCCAAGATTATTTTTCTTATTTAAGGACTGAACTGAGACAAGAACTCAGAGCTTCTGACTCATTCTTTACTAATTTTATTTTTGTTAAGTGCCTACCTCTTATCAGACAGAAATTGCAGTATGAACAACAGACACTGTGGTCCTGAAGAAGACAGGAGGTATGCTCACATGGTAAGGGCCATCATTGGGCACTCTGCTAAATATCTGAAAGAAAAAATTGAGAACTGTGATCTTGCATAATATGTGGATGGGAGAAAAACAGGTAAATAGGTCACACGTTCATAATTTCATTTTACAGTCATCTGAAGCAAATTTTACCCCCAATTTATAAGAATTACTGGATTTATTTGCCTAGGTAAAATGTCCAAATTCAGTCACTAAATATTCATTTAGTGACCAGACTGCTTTCATAAGTTTATTGCTTCCATTTCTTCTCAAAATACAGAAAATATAGAAATACACATAAACTCATCTCACAAAAATGAGTCCTTGTATTAACCCTTTGTTATATTTAAGTTAAGTACTTTGTCTTCATGTAATAAATAGATTAATATAAATTTTTAAATAAAAAATACAGAGGTTGCCTTTTAAAACTGCTTTATTAACTTTACAATATATAATGAGCATCTTTCCATGCAATAGGTAGAATTCTTCTGGTAACAAAAATCTTACAGCCTGGGTAAACAAAAACCACAAAATTTAATCAGAAGTTGGTAGTAGAAGACTCACAAATAACATCAAAAGATTTACAACAAAGGTGCATCACTAACATGTGAGTTTAGGAAGTAGGTGTCTCCCTATTCAGGGAAAACAGGATTCAGGGCATAAGGCAAAATTCATCATGATGGTCATGGTGAGGGGGGTCAGTGCTAACTGCCTGGAGACTATGACTCAACTGCTTTTCCCTCAGCTTTTCCATCAACTGTCTCACCTCCTCCCCAATCCTTTCCATATTATCTTCTCTCATCCTTGCCTGTGGCTCTCCAAGCCTATGCATCATGTCCCATCTGTACTGCAAGATGGGCTGCCTAGCACGGAACCGCCTACGATTTCCTCTAGGCACACAGTATTCACCAGTTTCCAAAGGGAGGGCCAAGGGCTCCTCTCCTTTATTAGCAACTTGGTCCTTTTCTTCCTTTCCTTCATGTTTCTTTTGGGCATTTTCCATGCTGATATTTTTTACAGCTTGCTCTTCTTTGGATTCCATTACTCCTAGACAACAGGAGGAAAAAAAAAAAGGCTGAATTTTTGGCGAACGCTTGAGCACAAAGGACAGAGGATTTGCTAATTATTCATGCTTCAGTGTCCTGGATATCAACAGAGTTTTTGTTTTTGTTTTTTTAATTTCATTTTTCCCACCTGAGAGGTTTTGTGCGCCCTCTAGGGGACCGCAAGTTCGCACACACCCCCATCCCCGGCCTTTCCTTTCCCTACCCCTAAACCCACCATTTTCCCTACAGATCTATCACTAGACTTCTGCAGGCACCAAAATGGAGGACAGGGTATGGGAAAGTCGGGAAGGGTCCTCAGACTGGGTTCTGCACTGGCCCTCACCACTGTCCCCTGCACCAACCTGGGCCTTGCAGTCTTCTCCTCCTTCTGATTCTTGCAGAAAGGTGTGCCGCCTCGACACTCAGACCTGCAGACGACTGAGGTGAGGGAAGCAATGACTGTGGCAGCCGTGCACTCACGCCACACCACCGTGCTCCCACACCGTCCCCTTCTCCTCCTTGGGACCTCGCCCTCGTCACCGCCCTCGTCAAGCTTCTCGGTGACTCCGGTGTCCAGTCCCCCATCTGCCCCGCCCCCTGCGATGTTTTCCCACAGAAACCCAGGGGTGAATCCCTAGCGCTTTTAGTTATTCTGCTGCCCATCTGGAATCCCAGCCATCCCAGCATCTTTACCTCAGGGCGCCACTATTAATGTTCCCAAGAATGTTGGGGTGTGCAGAAAGCTGACAAGACCCTTTGCGCTGCTCCGTGCCCACCGCCTGAGTCAGCAAACTGCTGACGCCCTGGCCCCTGAGCAGGCCCCGGGGCCCTTCCTTACCTGCTCCTCTTTCCCCGGGCCTGATGCCAGCCAGCCAAGCTCAGGGCAGCGGCGAGTTGATAGACGCTAGTGAAGACTGAACTGAAGGCTGCGTAGCTCTGCGGCTCCAGGTCACGTGAGAGCCGCGCGTCACCGAGGAGTTCGCACTCTTCCCCAGCACCCTTTCTGGCTGGCGACCAGTTCACAGGACCCTCCGCCCTCCACCACCCCGAGCGCCTGCATACAAAGACACCCTCCTCCTCCTGTCTTTGCACAGCACCCCAGCACATGCTGCTCTGTTACTCATCTCCATCCTCTCCAATCTGAGGGCCCACAAGTGGCATCATCGTCTTGCATTTGGAGTTTACCCATCTCTGGTTAGCAGGGAGGGTCTCTACTACTTTTCCCACCCACACCGCCCACTCCTGGCCTTGGCTTGGACTTTTCTGCTTTCTCTCCCCTTGTCCTTGGCAGTATGTACGCTTCCTAATAATTTATCTTTATTCCTTTTTTTAAATCAGTATGTCTCAAAATATTGAAAATAAAGGCCGGGCACGGTGGCTCACGCCTGTAATCCTAGCACTCTGGGTGGCTAAGGTGAGTGGATCACTTGAGCTCACCTGTTCAAGACTCGCCTGAGCCAGAGTCAGACCTCATCTCTAAAAATAGCTGGGCATTGTGGTGGCCAACTGTAGTCCCAGCTACTCGGGAGGCTGAGGCAAGAGAATCACTTGAGCCTAAGAGTTTGAGTTTGCTGTGAGTTGTGATGCTGCAGCACTCTACCAAGTGTGACAAAGTGACTCTGTCTCAAATATATATATATTGAAAATAATAAAATTTTACTTTTGAAAGAAATGCTTCAACGTAGAAAAGTAAACAAAAAGGAACATTGTTTATATTCACCTGTAGCACGCAGAAAATACTTTTTCTGGGCTCTACACCATTATTCTTTGAACATTCTCACTTGTTTGAAAATTTCATGGGAATATTCCTGAATACAGTTGATGTTTTCTAAATGATCTGTGAAATAAATCTTTAGAGAGCAATCCAGTTGTCAGATTTTGGCAATTTTATGTAAATAATCTACCTTTTTGCTTTCTGTAACAAATTTCAAGGTGTATTGCTAAACATTTCTCTCATTCTATTATAATAAACATTTATTAAATATGGAAAAGCATTTGTTGACAACTAACGTGGCCTGCTGAAAATTAATGGCTATTATTATTGATGGCTTTGAAGAGCCATAAGGCCAAGGCTGGTTGACAGGTGCAGAGACAGTCATATCATCCCTTCCCTGACAAGAAGTTGAGAAGATACCAGTCTTCTTACCTCCATATTTCAGAGCCTCCCATTTCCTACTTGCAGAATCCTGACTCTGTTGCTCACTCCCCAAAATATAGATGGACAGGTGACCTAGGTAGTAAAGTCCTTAGTAAAGGACTTTGGTGCCTTCTCTCTGCTTCTTCCCCAAATTCACATTTAATGACCCACTTCTCATCAAGGATAGGAGGTCCTTTCTGGTATAGGAACTCAAAATGGACCTTTCTACGGCTTGGCTTCATGGTGAGAGATTCCAGAAGTGATTGCTTGGGGTGGGAGGGCTCTCAAACCTTTCTGCTCTCCTCTTTTTCACCTGGGCAGGGAAGGGGGTAATCTCTCTGGGGCCTATTTGCTCTCATGTGGCTTTGGTGGTACGGAATGCTGGAATCTTCTCCCTACATCCTTCACTTTCAGGTTACCCAGGAAGAGCCCAGTCTTGCTGCATGCAGGGCCATTCACTATCTGCCAGTCAATACCCATCGTGCTACCTCCGCATTTATGCTGTAACTGTAGGAACACTCGTTGATGATCATCCTGAGTAAACTTGGCTTTCTCAACTCAGGAGTTTGTGAAATCCCTTAAAGGTTATTCAAAATTATCTGGGGGGGGGGGAATGGTATATTGGTATGTTTACCTTTATGTAGGATAAAAGGGCATACTTCTTAGCAAATTCTTAAAAGAAGCAGATTCTCAAAATACGACTACCAGACATTAGACTGTATTATAAATCAATAGTGATCAAAACAGCATTGTACTGGCACAAAAACAGAGAGGTAGATGTATGGAACGGAATAGAGAACCAAGAGCTGAACCCAGCTACTTACTGCTTTATGATCTTTGACAAGCCAATTAAAAACATTGAATGGGGAAAAGATTCCCTATTCAACAAATGGTGCTGGACGAACTGGCTAGCGACATGCAGAAAACTGAAACTGGACCCACACCTGTCACCACTAACTAAGATAGATTCTCACTGGATTAAAGACTTAAATTTAAGACATAAAACTATAAAAACATTAGAAGTGTAGGGAAAACTCTTGAAGAAATAGGCCTGGGCGAAAATTTTATGAGGAGGACCCCCAGGCAATTCAAACATCATCAAAAGTATACTACTGGAACCTCCTCAAATTAAAAAGCTTCTGCACAGCCAACAACACAGTAAGAAAAGTAAGTAGACAACCCTCAGAATGGGAAAACATATTTGCTGGTTATGTCTCTGACAAAGGTCTTATAACCAGAATCCACAGAGAACTCAAGCATAGTAGCAAGAAGAGAACAAGTGATCCCATCACAGGGTGGGCAAGAGACTTAAAGAGAAACTTCTCTGAAGACAGACGCATGGCCTACAGACATATGAGAAAATGCTCACCATCCTTAATCATCAGAGAAATGCAAATCAAAACCACTCTGAGATATCATCTAACGCCAGTTAGATTAGCCCATATCACAAAATGCCAAAATCACAGATGCTGGCAGGGTTGTGGAGAAAAGGGAACACTACTACACTGCTGGTGGGAATGCAAACTAATACGTCCCTTTTGAAAAACCATATGGAGAACACTCAGAGATCTAAATATAGATCTACCATTTGATTCTGTAATTCTGCTGTTAGTTATATACCGAGAAGACCATAAAGCACGCTGTAATACAGATATCTGTACCAGAATGTTTATTGCAGCCCAATTCACAATCGCTAGGTCATGGAAGAAGCCCAAGTGCCCATTGACCCATGAATGGATCAATAAATTGTGGTATATGTACACCATGGAATACTATACAGCC